TCCGGGCAGGACACGGCTCTGCCTCTGCTGTGTCCCAGCGGCTGGGAAAGCTCTGCCCAGGTCCCGGAGGCAGCCAGCGATTCTCTCAGCATCTCGGTTTTGCCATCATTTGGCCGTGCTTGTGCTGGGAATCCCCGGTGGGTGCTCCGGGGTGAATACGACATGGTATGGGGCTGAGTTAGGGGAAGTTTACTTTAGATATCAGGAAAACCTTTTACACCCAGAGAGAGGGCGGTGCAGCTCTCAAACAGGCTCCCCAGGGAGGTGGTCACAGCACCTGGCCTGTCTGAGCTCAACGAACCTTTGCACAACGCTTTTGGGCACATAGTGGGATTCTGGGGGTGTCCTGCATAGGGCCAGGAGCGGGACTCAGCGGGGTTATGGGGCATGGAGAGGAGCTGGGTGCAGGAGTGGGGCTGGCGTGGGAGCTGTGGGGCACTGGGCTGTGCCGGGAGGAGGACGGTGAGGGGGTGGATGGGTGTTGCACAAGCTGATCCCTCATTCCTTGGGAATGCTGCCGTGCCTCCCGGGCTGTCATCACCGGGCAGCCTGATCCATGAGGAGGCACTGCAGGAGGCATGGCACAGCCATGGCACACAGGAGGCATGGCACAGCCATGGCACACAGGAGGCATGGCACACCCAGGGCACACATGAGGCATGGCACAGCCATGGCACACAGGAGGCATGGCACAGCCATGGCATGCAGGAGGAATGGCACAGCCATGGCACACAGGAGGCATGGCACAGCCATGGCACACAGGAGGCATGGCACAGCCACCACCTCCACGGGCTCCTTCCCAAGGGCAGCCCAGCAGCCACACTTTGGGCTCGCTGTACCACAGGCTCCCAAACCACCGCGGCTGCTCCGCACTTCCTCTGCCACTGGAAACAAGCAGTGCACCAGATGTGTCCCTGTCACCATGGCTTAACTCCAGAGCCTCCTTGCCTGGTGCTGCCAGCCTGTGCTGCCCACAGCAGTGCCGGGGCTCTCACCACACCGGCGAGGCTGGCTGAGCTGGTGGTGCTGCCCAGCTGCTGTAGGAGCCGGCCGGGGCTGCCTGGGGCAGGCTGCTCGGGCTGGAGATGCAGCCCAGCCTGCTGAGAAGGTCTGGCAGGGCACTGGGAACCAGCTGGGACTGCCCTTCAGGCTGGGCCTGTGGGATGAAGCTGTTTTCCCGTTAGAGTTTGCAATGAGCCATGAGTGCTGTTGAGAGAATTTATCCTAAGCCCTCCCTCCTTTTGGGTTTGGTACACAGCAATTTGTGCTGTTCTGATAAGCACCATAAACAATGGTGTCCTGTTGGTCCCAGAGCCAGCTGGTGCCCAGGCAGAGCCCAGCTGGTGCCCTGTGGCCTTGCACACCCTCCATGGCTCTGTGCAGGGGCTGAGGTCCCTGTCCCTGCAGGCAGGGCAGAGAGCCCCAGCCCTGCCACAGTGGGGCCTGCAGAGAAGGGGCTGAGGAAACTCTCCCTTATCTGCCCACACCACACATGGCTTCACCCTGCGCCCTCCTTCCTGCTGTCCCCAGCAGGCAGGAAGTGTGGAAGCCTTCTTCTGCTCAAAACGAGAGATCAAAGAGATCTCTGATACTCAGCTCTGATACTTCAGAGTTTCTGTTGCCTCTGCTTAGAGGAAGAGGTTTCTGCCGGTTGGGAAAACAGAACCTAAGGGTGATTAACACCTTCCTGTAGCTGCAGCTCCCAGCAGGGTCGCTGCTTTGTACCCAGGATGCTGCACCTCTTCCAGCAGCTCTCTGGAGCAGTTGTTGCCCCCTGGTACCCAAGATCACCATGCATTCTGGAGCAGAGGAGCAGCCACGGCCATGCCCACGGTCCTGGTGTGCCCGCAGCACTTTGGGCAGCTGCCCAGAACAGTCGGGCAGCACTCAGGACTGGGGTCTGGGCAGCACCAGCAGGGCGGGGCTGCAGGTGCGGGAGCGGGACAGCAGGAGGGCTGGCAGGTGACAATTGCCGTGTCCCACAGGTGCGTGGAGGCCCTGGTGGTGTACTGCTGGTCGGGCAGGGAGGAGGAGCCCTACGTGACCATCACCCGCAAGCGGCGCCTGCGGCAGGGCTACGAGCTGGAGCTGGAGCAGGAGGTGGGGCACTCGGAGCGGCGCCTGGCCACGCACCGCAACGCCTTCAAGCGCATGGCCGTCATCCAGGCCTTCCTGGGCTCCACGCCGCAGCTCACCCTGCAGCTCTACATCAGCGTGCTCGAGAAGTACGTCCCTGCTGCCCGAGGTAAGGGCTCCCCACCAGAGAGGAACTCCAAGAAGGGCCAGCTCCTCGGCTGCTTGTGCTGATGGGACATCCAGGCCATCCAAAAAGTCCCTCCTGGGCACAGCTTCCACTGGGCTCCCCGAAGTGTGGAGCACGACCCACAAATGTTGGGCACACATCAGCTCTCTGCTTTGCTGCTTGCAGTGGTGCAAAGTGGGAGAGAGCAGGCCTGGCTGAGGTGCCAGGCTCTGCTCCCAGCCCCGAGTTCATATCTGTCCTCCAGAGCCAAGCCATCCACCCAGTGCCAGTCTCATAAGAGGGTCAGGTCCCTGTCCTAGCCTGCTCCAGTCTCCAGTCATTTTTTGCCATCTAGCTGCAGGCTCTGGCTTCCCTCAAGTCCCCCCACTGTATCTATTTCTGCACATTTTCCTGCAGCCAGAGCTCCCAGCCCAGCACTCCCACTCCAAGGCTCCCTCGCCTGCTCCCAGGATGTTTATGTGCTTGGGGGTGGATATGCCAGAGCAAACTTTTAACTCCCATTTTGGCACCGAGCTGGGCAGGCAGGTGTGCTCCTGCACCATTCCAGTTGCAGTGCTGGCTGGTGAAGAGCTGCTCTCACCCAGCAGTGCTGGGAGCCCAGACCTTGTCACTTGTGCCCACAGCAGGTGCATGAAAAGGGAAGCACAGGAGATACCCCATAGAAACCCCCTGATTCGCCACAGCCCTCTGCAAAGGCATTTTGGGGAGTTGCAGATGCACAGGAAGAATGAGTGCCAGTGCTGCTCTAGCAGTAGCTGCAGGAAGTCAATACCAAATGATGTGTTCTGGGTGATTCCCTCACAGCTGGAGTGCCAGCTCAGCCCTGCAGCTGGCAGCCACCGTGGATGGGACCAGCTGCACTCTTCTGTTTCTCTCCATAGTATTCTTGGCAGTGCTGAATGTGAGCAGCTGCTGGCATTCCCTACAAATGACCTTGGCTCTGCAGCCCTGGGATGGGGCTGGCTCTTGGGGCGCCTCTGGGGCTACAGTGCTGCAGCTCTTGGCTGGGGTGAAGGCAGAGGGGCCCTGCAGCTCTGACTGTGCCCTGCTCACCCTTGAGCAGCAGTTCCTGCACAGGGCAGGGGGCTGGGGCATGCTCCAAGCACAGAAATGGCTCTGGTTTGGCCAAGGTTTGTGTTTTATTGGTGCAGGGAGAACCTTTGGGTTCTGAGCCTCCTGCTGCCAGCAGCCACCTCATCATGGAGGCTGTCAGCACCATCCCTGAGCTGTTCTGGCAGTGCTCACGCTGAGCCTTCTGCTGTGAGCCCAGGTGTTGGGCACCCTGTACTTCTCACCAGGACTGGCACCCCAGGTTTCCCACCGGGAGCTGTCACCCCACACTCTGCACCCGGGCAGTGGAGAGGCTGGGCACAGCCTGGTCCCTGCCCTGCCTCACTGCCTGCTCTGTCCCTCCGCAGCCGTGCTCATGGCCATCTGCCTGGTGTCAGTCACCTACGGGGCTCTGGTCTGCAACATCCTGGCCATCCAGGTCAAGTACGACGACTACAAGGTGCAGCTGCGCCCGCTGGCCTTCCTGTGCATCGTGCTGTGGCGCAGCCTGGAGATCTCCACGCGCATCGCCGTCCTCGTGCTCTTCAGCACCGTCTTCAAGCACTGGATCATCCCCATCGCCCTGGCCAACCTCCTGGTGGTCTTCTTCTTGCCGTGGGTGCAGTTCTGGCGCAGCGGCAGCCGCCTGCCCGACAACATCGAGAAGAACTTCAGCCGCCTGGGCACGGTGGTGGTGCTGTGCGCCTTCACGCTGCTCTACTCCAGCATCAACATGTTCTGCTGGTCGGCCGTGCAGCTCAAGCTGGCCGACCGGGACCTCATCGACAAGTCGCAGAACTGGGGCCGCCTGGCCGTGTACTACGTGGCCCGGCTGGCTGAGAACACGGCCTTGGTCATCCTCTGGTACTTCTTCAAGACTGACGTCTATGAGAACGTCTGCACGGCGCTGCTGGTGCTGCAGCTGCTCCTGGGCTACTGCCTGGGCATCTACTTCATGCTGCTCTTCTTCCAGTACCTGCACCCCTGCCGCCAGCTCTTCAGGCACAACGTGGCCGATTTCCTGCACTGCGTGTGCTGCCGCCGGCGCCCCGCGGGGACCCCGCTGTTCCTCGAGGCACCTTCAGAGCCTGGCGTGAGGCACAGCATTGTCTGAGCTCCCGGCCCCTCCAGCCAGCCACAGACTGGGCATGGGCGTGGGCAGCACAGAGGATGCCCGTGGCACAGGCTGAGTGCTGCCTGGTGCTGCTGTGCTGGCAGCAGGTCCCAGTGCATCCCCTCGGGGACAGGGACAGGAGTGTGCTTGCCCGCTCAGGATCACTCATGAACATGAAGGAGGGCTGATTTGGATTGGACATAAGGAAATTTTTCGCAATGAGTGCTGAGGGACTGGCACATGTTGCCCAGAGAGATGGTGGATGTGCCGTCCCTGAAAACATTCAAGGCCAGGTTGGGTGGGCTCTGAGCAGCAGTTGAAGATGTCCCTGCCCAGCTCTGGAGTGTAACTAGATGGCCTTTAGAGGTCCCTTCCAACCCAAACTGTTCTACAATTCTACAATTCTACGGCTTATGGGGTGCCCCAACGAGGTGCCCCTGCCAGCTGGCTGCCACATGGTGCAGAGCCCCAGGGGTGCCCCGACACCCCCAGTGCTGCTATGGTGCATACGGTGACCAGGGCTACGGGTGCCACTGGGACTGTTGTAAGCAGTAAAGAAACTTTGCTGTGACTGCGAATCTGGGTGCTGGCAGTGACTCACACGGAGGGTGGGGACGGTCCCAGGGGCTGGCACGGCTGCACACACCTGCTGTCCACGTAAAACTCCTTTACAGGCACCAAAATGGGGCTGTGCCAGCGGGAAGTGGGCATGGGGGAGCCCCTCTGTGGAGGTTCAGGGGCATGGTGGGATGGGGCTGGCTCATCCTGTGTTCCGTCAGCATGGCCGTGGCTGCAGGCCAGCAGAGAGCAGCGTGCCAGCAAGGAGCAAGCCTGTCTGACCTGTTCCTCCAGGCTCAGGGGCCCAGCACAGGCTGCTGTTCCCAGCTGGAGCACTGGACACCCCAGGGCTCAGGGCCCTGCAGCGGAGGGCAGGCAGCAGGGGAAGGGTGGCTGGCACAGCAGTGGGTGCTGATGGGACCCAAACATCCTGCCCCCACCCCAGCACCCATTTTGGGGTCAGCTCAGTTTGGGTGCTGGACTGAGGATGCTCATCAGCCCCAGGGGCCCATGGAGGTGCAGCACCACTGGTGCTTGGTCTTAAATCACCCACCTGTAATGGATGCCCGGGCTGGATCCTGGCACAGGGCAGCGCTTTGACCCCAGGAGGCTTCTCTTCCTTTGGTGGTTTCCCTGGAAGATGGGCAGTGCAGGCTGGGGAGGGAGGCCAGGGAAAACAGAGCTGTTGAGCTAGAACAGGATGGATCCTCCACAAGTTCTTCCCAGGAAATTCCTGCCTTACAAAAAAAGCCTGTTTTTATGCTCAGAGGTTGCACAGCCCTGGGAGGAGCAGGCAGACACCCTGTGTGACCCAGCCGTGGGGCACAGGGGGGATCTCAGCGGGGACCGTCCCCGGCCAGCACAAGGGGCCGGCTCTGCTGTTGGCCAATTGGGTCAGCCCTGCCTGCCTGGAAGGAGCCTTTGAAAGCACCGGCATTTCCTCCAAGCGCTCTCAGGGGAAAGTCCCGGGTGCCGTTCCCGGGCCGGGCTGTCTCACCGCCCGCTGCTCCATAAAACCGGGCAGTAGGGGCAGGCACAGGCACAGCGCGCCATGGGCAACTGGCTGGTCAACCACTGGTTCTCAGCTGCTGTCCTCGTGAGTCTGGGGCTGGGGGCTCCGAGGGGTGTGCGAGGGGACCCTGCGGGTTTATGGGGGAGATGGGGGCTGAGGAGCTGCCCTGGGCCGGGCTGGGGGCAGAGACGAGCATCCCCTCTGCTCCCCAACACACACACCCCAGCAGCCAGGGGAGGGATGCGCTCTGGAAACCTGGAGTCTTGGGGAAAACACAGCTCACGGGAAAGGGGGTCCTGGAAAACTTAAAAACGCTGCTGCTTTGCCTGGCCACTTTGGCTGGGGGCCTGCCACGTGCCTCTTCTCCCCTTGTGAGAGGAGGAGGATCCTGTGAGAGCTCGTGGCAGGGTGAGGAGCTGGCACCATAGAGACCATCTGCCGTGCTGCAGCATCTCTGGTGTAACAGAGCTTGCCTGGCCAGCCCCCCTCAGCTGCTCAGAGCTGTGTGAGGAGCTGTGAAGGCATGGGAACATGGGGTTTACTGACAGTTGGGCTATTTTAATGTTTTCAGTTACTTAAAAAAGAAAAAGAAAACAGCCAAAAAACAAATACACGGCAGGGTGTAATTTTTTGGGTGGTTTTTTTTGGGACCTCTGCAAAAATTCAGTGTCTGTGAGAGGCGGCAGTGTGGGATGCCGTGGGGTTAGGCAGGGGACAGCAGCACTGTGGGCCAGGTGAGCCAGCTCCCTGTGAAACTTCTTCTCCCAAAATCTTCCCCACACAGTCCTGACCACCCTCTGGATCTGCCTTCCCTCCCGTTACCCGGGTGTTGGCTGCTCTGCCTTTCCTCCTTCCTCATGCTCGGTGATGCACAGGGCAGTGTGTGACAAGACAGCAATTCTGCAAGGCTTCCACACCTCTCCCCACCTTTGACCCTGTGACCCAGCCCTGTGTGTGACAGGGCAGCTCACAAGGAAACAGGATGGATACTGTCTGCTGTCTGTCCCGACACGCTCTGGCTGCAGCCAGCCCTGAGTGCTGCAGTGGGAGGCTCCCAGGACAGGGTTCCTCACGAGGCTGTGCCTTTCCCCTGCAGGCAGCCTGGCTGGGCATCAACATCTTCCTCTTCACCTACTACTTTCTGTTCTTTGACCGGGACGAGCGGTATTTCTACACCAGGGCCATCCTTGGGGTAAGGTGCTCCCCACAGCACCCCGCCTGCCCAGGCAGAGGAGCCCCTGGGGCCCTGCTGCACTGGGGTGGGGGCTGCAACATCCCAGGCCCCTTTCATGTTCTGTTCCCTTCCAGCCCACCATCATCCCATCCCACTCCACAGCCTGGCATTGCACCATGCTAGTCCCTGTCCTGATCCCTGTCTGCCCTCAGCCCAGCAGCATTCCAGCCCAGCCTGGCATCTCCCCCTCCCAGTCCTCTCCTAGCTCACCCCTCCCAGTCCCATGGCAGCCCAGCCCCTCTCCATCCCAGCTCCCAGCCTAGCTCAGCACTGACCAATCCCATCCTGGCACAGCACCACAGGACAGTGGTGCTCACCCCTCTCTCCTCCCCAGTCTGCCTTGGCATGGGCTCGAGCATCAGCCAAGTGCCTCAACTTCAACAGCATGCTGATCCTGCTGCCCGTCTGCCGCAACCTGCTCTCCTTCCTCCGTGGGACCTGCTCGGTGAGTGTCCCGTGGTGGCACAGCCAGCGTGGCT